CTTATACACATACCCGCATGTACGTCCATATGTATATTTCTCAACCCTTCGTCTTTTACGTTTTCATGTTTTATATATTTTACATGTCTCTAGAATTTATCCCAAATTATTTAGAGAATGGAACGTCAAATTCTAACTTTATATTTGATAGACGGTACCGAGATTTTTAAATCGAGAAACACTGTATCGCATATCCTATTTTCTTTCTTTAAATGAATGTTGAAAGCTTTCAACCTGAAACCGACGCACGCACAGTTTCCCAAAGTTCTACTGCCATCTGTTAGCACGCTAATTGCGAATGGCTGTCAGCGCGAAATGCCCACGCAGAATGAAATATGAGGCTCGGTTGCGGAATTGAAAGTCGCCTCGTTAATTGTTTTTTGTCAGTTATTCATTCACTCAATTATGTAAAAGGCCCTTGCGCAGCAAAATGAAAAACGTTTCATTAATCGTTTCCAATGGCGATGATTAATTTGTTTCGAACAGTTTTAACATAAAATTATATAATACTTCAGATATGCTATATTCTGTATAATATATTCTCTTATTATGTTAAGAAGCTACAAGGCTCGTGTTACACATTTTATTGACGAAAATTAAAAAATACATTTCTGATTTTATATTGAATTATAAATTGTAATTACCACTCGTAAACAACGATGTATTTATAATTATAATAATAATGACATACCATCAGTCTGAGTGTAGTACCAGTACCATTGTGTGAGTAACAGGTACAATTATTGTTGCATTAATATTGCTAATACAGTCAGCTAGATTAACGCATAAATATTTGCTATTAATAGATGAAGCTATTAGCATAAATAAGTGAACCCATACCATGTATCCTCTTTATTATTAATAAACTTTCGAAGCGTTTTGCAATAGTCAGTGACTATCAGTAAATGAAACATGGAATGCATTTTCGTATGCGACTCGCCCCCATGTATCAACGATAATAACAATCTTTTATACATTTGTTATTTCGACGAGGGATCAGGTAATAAACATCAGCTTTCCGGCGAAATCCGATCTCAAATTAATACCACGGACATTCATATACATTTACTTGCTGGACATTTATATAGATTATATACGGTTATTATTTTTAGAATTGACATCAGATTTCCATACATTTCGATATCCGGCAACATCGACAATTCCTGTTTGTCGGAATTCATCCGAGTATTCTCATATTTCCCTGCATGAAGTACAGTACTACACTATAGAGCCATCTCTCTACAAGTGGATAGTTTCAGATAACTGCTATTGAATTTAGTAATCGTAATTATGTACAAATGACTTTACACCTTTTGTAAATCTATCACTAGATTGTATGTCCAAAAGGATATATTATTCTGATAATTCTGAATGAACGATCCAATTAGCAATTTAATTAGCGTGCTTGTAACAAGAACAAATAATCATTAGGTAATCATTACCGAAAATTACACATGTGATAGTCAGCCGTCGCCCATCATCCTTTTGTATTGGCTCGATATTGATTGAATATAATAACACACAGAGGTATGAGTCACTGGCTTCTAACTGAAAATAATGGTCTGTTCGATCATAGCTAGGTGAATCCGAGCGTGGTTGGTCTCTCAACGCAATGAAATGTAGTAGTTGAATTTGGTTCTCGGCAGCCGCATGGTTGCTTACCTGCGGCAATGTTAGTTCATCGAATTTGTACACGAGGATCATTCATCCCGCGGAATCCGAGGACGCAGTATGCTTTCTACTCGGGTAGGAAATTCAAAGACCTCTCTCGTTAACCATTCAGTTAGACATCTACAACATTCTTCGGTGTATCCATTCACATTCAGAAAACGAAGCGCAGTCAAGTCTGACTATACAGATACCCGTATATCAGATACCTTTAAACGAGCATCTTACAAGTTTAGATGTTCACTTAGAAATTTATGTAATAAGAAAAAGTTCGGCTGAATTAAAGTCAAGTACTTAACATATTTGAGAAGCACGTATTGCATCAATTTTTCAAAGAAAAGCTTTAAATCCGGTCGGGTGGTATAACCAATACTACATGTAAAAATAAGTTGAGAGTTACATCTAGTACCACTCCCTGCTCGGTTGTACCATCCGTTCAGTCACACTCTGTATATAAACAAGACAAAAACTGAGATTTTTCCGTCCACTATTCAGCCGGAAATAAAACAGCTCGTGCCATCCTTCTAAGCTCTATCTTAATCGCACTTTTTCTCTCTGATCATATCTCTCGGGGCATCAAGCAATCTTTCGTTATCCACGAAGTACCCGAAAAAACAGCCCAAGAATAAAAACCGCGGTGCACGTCACGTAACAGTTACGTGATTAATCGTCGGTCTCCGAGCAACGTCTTTTCTTCTCTCCTTAATGACGGCCGTTTTCTGGTAGGTGTAGTGTAGCCAAAGAAGAAGCCGAAAAGGAAACCGCCACCAAGACCGGCTAGCTGACCACAAAGAAGCCCATTAGAAGGAAATGGGTCAATTAGCCAGATTCGCATCCTGTCCTGCGAGCACAACACAAGGTGGCAAAAGGGTACACATATTGCTCGGTGCTCGCTATCCCTCCAGCCGAGATACCGCACGGGGCACGAAGGGTGAACGAGATGAGGAACGACAGAAGCTTGACGTCACGCGAGGCACCCTTCGAGGTTTCACCGCCACGGGGAAGGTCGAGTGTGTGCGACAGAGAGGCAACGAAGTGAGACGGAGGCGGAGTAGTAGCTCGCCTTAATTGGGGACGAGTGGAGGCTCGTAATTTCACATCGCAACGCGAGGGCAGCCGGTGGCTAGGCGCCAGTAATTTGTAATCCGTATGCTTAGACACCGACTACGCTCCTGTCACACCGGGATCAGGGTATTAACGGAGGATGGAATCGCGCGTGCCGGAACATAACCGGTTAAACCGTGTAGAATCGACGCGGTTCAATTTGCGGGAAATGGGGGACAGATTCGAAATTCTACGCGTACAACGAGATTCTTAATGCCGTAAGGTAGAGCTGGCTAAAACTATTGAAAACTGTTTGAAATTTTGTACAAAATTAATACAGCTAGGACATGGATTTCTAATATAGAAATGTGTTGTATTTGTAGCTGTTTCTTTTTAAGCCCGATTATAACTAATATAATCACTAACTTAACATCAAATAGTTCAAACTTCAAACACCTTGGAATTTTGTTAGATATTTAATCAATCTTTTTTTACATTTTCCTCTATTGTATTATGAAATAGATAATCCTTTAACATAGATTACAAATGCTCCTTTGAATACGTATGATCGAAATTTGTATCTCTTCGTATAATCTACAGAACATCGAAAGAACAATAACGCATCGTGTAATCGGTTTTATGATCCAATAGATTTTTTAGAATTTTGGTACCACTGTACAAGGATACCGTTCGTAACTCCGCGTCGCGTTATTCCCAGTTAGAATTGAAACTCGTTCGATCGTGCCTGCAGCTTGTTTACCTCGACCAGAGGATGAAAAATCGCTATGGAAACGATTTTCGAACGATCGGCTCGAAATAAAATTGATAACGTCGGACACGCGTGACGATTAATTTGTCCTGTCTCTTCGAGTTTTTTCTTCTTTTCCGACTTTTTTCATGATGGTTAACGAGATAGGCGCAAACGTTCGTTCCACAAACAATAGAACATCTGCACATTGATACGATTATAGAGGAGGGTTCCAACAAACAATTGATTTCCCAAATTCTCCTTAATCAAACGTCAGTAATAATTAAAAGAACTCAAAATCGGAACAGAGTTGCAGTTTTGATTAATAAATTATATTAGCGGGTACAACGGCGATTGCGTTTACAAACTTTTTCCTCGCTTACTCAAACTCTTAATTCTTGAAGTTCGAGCCACGTGACGGGACGCGACGTTTCTTGAAGTTGAAGCAAATATACTTTGGAGACTGGAAACCGGACGAGAGTTTCAAGTTTCATGAAATTCGAGTTTCCCTAGCCTTTCAAAGCTGTGCGCTTTTCTCGAATTTAAGGAAACGTGGCAGTTATATTGTACATACACATGTATGTTTAATCTAGGGGATGTATACGACCAGATACGAATCTGGAAAGTACTATGAAAGTACTGGATTATGCTCTTCCTATTTGAAAGAAATTCGTTCTCGGATCTGTGTAATCTCGCTTAAGACCGTGCGCGGAATTGTAAGCTTTGACCGTTATACTTTTTACAATCTCTCAAAGCTTTCCAGTTATACTTTCAAAGCACACGCCGAGAGGAAATGATTAAAAAAAGGTACATAGGATTATCGATGAAAATTTGTTTCCATTAATATTTGTATCCTGTTAGTAAAAAAGTTTTCTCAGAGTGTCCAACATGATTGATATTTCTCTTTGAGAACGTACATGAATTTCTAGTTATAAAACTAACGGATCGTTATTGCTTTGATTTCTTTTCAGATCGCACAGATTTCGTTCGAGAATAAACAATTCGAGTTTAAACGTAAGTAGTACAGATCGACGATTATATATTATTTTATATATTGTATGTAATTTGGAAATAAGTGCGACAACAATAAATTATAGTTCTCAGTAAAATGGGGAAATTAAGAGTGATGGGAGCGAAGTGTGATTTATGTATTTCGTTGTCCGCGTTTTATTGGATCGCTCGTCTCGAGGATGTTGATCCGTCTATCTTATGGAGAGGGTAACAGGGAAGTAAATAGTCAGTCTAAGCACTCCTACGAGCTATCCTTCATAATTCTAGATGACGAAGTATGTTGCAGTCTGTGAAATATGATCTGGAAATGAAAATGTCCAGACCTGTCAAGCACCTATCCGATCTAGTAAATCTTCCTCATGGATTTCCAAAGGGTTTGGTAACCAATATCGAGCAACACGTCGAATAAATGGTTCCTACAGTACGAATTTGAATACCGTTCTGAACATTCATTATTTTTTACTTTGTACTTGACAATAAATACAGTTGAAAAATATTCAAACGCGTCGGATATTAACCATCATAGATTCTATATTCGATATGACGTTTCTGGAACATATAGAAAGCTCAGTCTCAATTTTTCCGATCCTCTTTCATACGTGCATCTGCAAAGAGGATAAAATCATGGAAACGCCGGCCGCGTTGCGCAAGGCATACTATGTATTCATATTGGAAGAATTTCAGAAATGCGTCTATCGATTTTAGTTTTGATCTGCATAGAAAAATATGACTCGCGTGGCTACGATTACAATGGCGTCATCGAGCAGCTATCATGGACGAGTTTCGCTTCCAAACACCAGAGTAAAACAAAAACCAGATAATGGATGGAAAAGAAAGGAAGAGATAAAGTCATTCTCGCAAATGTGTATCCATGATATTTGAAAAAAGTAAAATCTGTATCAATGTACGTTTCTTTTAAGACTCCTATTGTTAGAGGAAGAACAAAGAACGAAAAGGATTGGTACGGATGGAAAATGATAAGTTGAAGTGGGAACGTTGCATGAAGAAGAAAGAGAGAAAAAATGAACGTTTTCCTCTGAACAGATAGGATCAAACGGAACGCCAGGAGTTGAAACGTTACATCCAGTAGTGAAGTTGCTTTTCCCGGCCTAGCTTTTTCTCGACGCACCTATGTACTTCCTACTCTCGTTCATACTTTATCTTCCGGATCCACTGTGAGTATCCTTTTTTTCGCGTTTCATCACGCTTCGCGGAGTAAGACGCCGACGCGACGTAGCCCTTGAAGTTCTAATACGAGAGGGATTTTATTTTCCTTCATCTTACGGGGAAGGGGAAGGTGTTAAAACGAGAATCCTCCTATTAGCTCTTTTATGAAATAATGCAAGAGCATAAAGGGTAGTAAAAATTGTTCTTGATAATTAAAAGTTCATTGCTTGGAAAAGTTGGAAGACTTTTCGAAAATGGTGTTCATGAGGTCGATGCTTTAAAAGTGTTGAATAAACAAGACATCTATTTTTATGTCAATCATCATAAAACAGAAAAGGCTACCAAGGAAAATGGACGCCTATTTATATTCATATACACGCTTCCTTTATTTAATTTTCGCGGAAACTACATTAAACTCGCACGTCTCAAGAGACCTGGCGTGTTCGCAAAAGTATACATATACATATACATATATGTAATGTGTTACAAAGATGTCTGTTGTTCGTGCATCTTTCATTCAATTTCATGTTCGGAATACGTGCTGCTTACGTCAACATCAATGAGAAAAGTGGAGGGAGAGAGGCAGAAACTACGCGTTACGACCGAAAAAGACAAGCAACTTTGCATCCTTCTCGATTGAAATGCTTGTGTTTCTGATTTGTTGGAATTCTTATTCGATTCTCGAAAGGAAGTCTAGCGTAGACATATCGAAATTGAACATTTTGTAATTTCTGTTTATGAAACTTAATAAAACAGTATGGAAAAGATGCTCCTGTTATTTAATTTAAAAAGCAAGCATTTCTTAGAATACGATTACAAAAAAAAGAGGAGAAAACTGAAGAATAACATTCAACTGAGAATTTCGTCCTCTTTTACATTTCCAGAAGATGAAATTCTGGGACCCCCTGTGTAATAAATTCTGATTCGTAATGCATCAGAATAGTTACGTACGTACTGTGGTTTGATTTATATGTAGCACTGTATTATTATTTTGATACATTTGAGCATGTTTGCGTTCGCTGCGCGACAATAGAAAATCTCCAGAGAAAAAGATCGATGACTAGGTAGGTGGGCGACAATATGAAAGGTCTTAAAGCGCTGCTACTTGCAAGACTAACCCGATAAATTTCAGATTGCATAATTCATCTGTCGCATTGTGATCTGCGAATGCACCAATACGCTTTCTGAAAGAGAACGCTTTCAAAGTTGACTTCCTTTATGTGCGAAAGAATTTATTTAATAATAATCTATAATGTGAATTCCTAATAATATTAACCGATTTACAAAAAATCAACAATAGAGGAAGGAAAGTATCAAATGTGTCAAGAATATAATGGAAGACGACAATAATTGGAGTGACACAAAGTCAAGGAATGATGGATAATGCAACGAAATTGAGTGTACAATATTATACACTACTCTTCTGGACGCTCTGAGCAAATATTTATCAATCTTGTTACAGAAAAGTTGACAAAATCGAAAAAATACAAAATGAATCGAATATAAAGATAAACATTTATCACTGATGGAAGCAACATTTTCAGGGCACTCTCGAATAACACTTTTTCACAACAGTCTCTGCATTAATTCCAGAAAACGTTGTTAAAATTAATGGCAAGTGATTTATAAGGAAGAACAAGAAGAGACAAAAGAAATAAAAGACCTTCCACTGGCAATAAGAGAAAATTAAACGAAACTTGATTTCTATTACAGCCGATGCGAATCACACAGGATAATCGGAAGATGAGCAACTTCACTAAGAGACGGAAGCGTATATCACGTTCTCTTTGATAGATACCGGTGTGTTTCGTTAACGTGCGAGTTTATGGTTGGCTCACTGCGTGCTTGATAAACGAAAACGAGCGACTGCCTGATCAATCCTTATTGATTATGAATCGCGATGTTCATCGCTACTAATCCGGGAAAAGCGCATCATCAGGTAGGCTCGATTAATCGCGCGATCACATGTGCATGCTGACTGTAGCCGTGGCAAGTTTCGATTCTGGTACCAGAAACGCCTGTTAATGGCCGCCATGGTATTATCTTTCGACGAATTACGCGTTTGTTTAAATTCAAGATTCGTGTTTTTCATTTCTCAATCAAGTCCCTTCTCGACACTTTGCGAAATGAAAATTGTTATTGCAGTAGGAATAGGAAGAGAAATAGGGATGATTTGCTGTCATCTTAAAATATATTTTATTTTCAGTTATGCTTGGGTCCGCTCAATGATAATGTATAAATCTGACTCCTGCCACGTCGGGGTTGTGGTGCTATTCAGTTTACATTCTTGTTTGCTTTCCGTTCTTTTTCTTTCTCTTCTACCCTTTTCCTCGCGTTCAGCGCGAAGCTGTGCGCATGACCTCAACGCCAGTCGCTATTATCCAGTGACTATTGTATGCGATGAAAAGAGATTGCGTGTTCAGCACGCGGCCTCCTCGGGTTACCTCGACGCGGATTAACGACTACGACGACGAGTTCCGCGTTAATTATGCACACGTCTGCTCGCACACTCGTCGCTTAGTTAACGACGACATTGAGCATACCAACCATCGCAAGTGATACCGCGAATTTCCAACGGGATCACTCGCTACCCTAACCGGCAACATTTTCGTTAAGGTTTAATCTCGATTTACGAAAATCCCATAAATGCAGAAATATCCACAGTATAGTCATCAGGAACGAGCTTACGAAAACGGGAAAAGGAAAACGCGAAAAAATATGAAGATTGCGAGAGGAGCGTGTAACAATAGCGGGCTGCAGAACAGCGGAAGGGGTAGGAACGGAACGTGATTAATCGATGCTAGCGAGTCAGATGAAGCGAAAGAGGGCGCCGTGACAAAGGGCGATTTCGCGATTGCGCTTGCACGCATAGCGCCATTAGATTATTGGACGGTAACGAGTTAACAACGCTAACTCTTGTGAACTGAACGCAGCACCCATGACAAATACCGCGACGTTTTTTCCCCTTACTGACAATGAATTACGCTATCCTCCATTCTTTGTTTCCGACTACTTCCAGCGATCCTACGTATCATGCGCTATTCTAAAATCTAAACTCCAAACGATCGACTTACATATTTTATGTTAGCACCCGACTTTAAATAAACAATTTAACGTATCTATGATGTTTGATATAATATGATGTAAAGAGCTGTTAATCAGAAAAGTTTGGCAACCCCTGCTCTATGCATTTAATTGTTTAAGCAATTTTATGAAAATCACTGATCAACCTAACATACATTGATTCCAAAATCTCCATCAGCGGAAACAACGAAGTCTGCGGAAGAATTTGTTAATTGTGAAAGTCCCGAACGACGGTAAGATTCCTCGGAACGATCCCTCCGAGATTCTTGCGGAAGTATTTCAGGGATAAACGTCGACCCCGTGAGCGCCGTCACTCGCATGGGCTCCTTTGAGCTTGCCTAATAATCGCATTTTCTAAATAACTTTCGCAAAATCGTGTGTAAGCGGATCGAAAGTCAGCTAGCGAGCAATTTTCAATTTGAGACAGTGCAGTTGTAGTGAAAAAAAACGTCAGGTTAGGTGGCCGACTTTGGGACAAGAATAAATGTTTCCAGTTCTACAGAAACGAGTTTTTCCTCCCTCCCCATACCGTTTCACGTTCAAATGCCGAGTAAAACGCGGATGTATCGTCTGACGAACGTCTTTGACAATGCTCTGCACTCTACTCCCAACATTTTTCCCTTTTCACATACTACTTTTATTTCTTTCTGTATTTTATTTGATTTTCGAGTTCTGACGACAAGTACTTTTAGACTGAGATTG